AAAATCTGCATCAGGAGGATGATATGTGTGAGCAGGCTAAAAGGTCTGCCCTGAGCCAGGAAGTGATACTTCAAGTAAGGACATGAGCTCCCCTAAAGAGAGCCATAGTCATCTTCAGTGACAGTGACAAGCGGAGTTCCTCAAATTTTGAATAACCAAGTTCATATCAAGAAAACAAAGCTGTACACTGCATGCCAGAATAGACTGTTGCCTGCTGACCTTGGACCTTCCTTGTAGCAGGTGCACTCTTGTTGTGTGCCATGTGGTAGATGGGCCACTGCGTGCTCCTGGCCTACTGCCATTGGAGACTCTCCCCATCTGCTGAACAAAGTACTGCTATTGATGTTTCACTCTCACTCTTTCTTCCAGAACATTGAACTGCAGTAGATTCACTGTACTGGGTTGATAAGACACTCAGTAACTCCTTACCCAAACAGAAGGCCTCAGCAGGCTCCAGTCAGTAAGGTGAGTTTGCCCCTAAAACAGACGTCCTCAGAGGGTAAATAGGAGCAGTAGTGAAACTCCTTCCAGCTGTAAGACCTTGGAGAGCTGAGCAAGGGTGTAGCTGACTCCATTCTCCACACAGAGAACATCAGGCAGATTGAGAAGAATGCCAATAAGCACCCCCCAAACTGAAGAAAATTAAAAGGGCTTATGAGAGACCTAGAGACACATTAGGATCTCAGTGGAGACAAAAGCACTAGACAGGGAGATCTGATGACCTGTAATATCCTGAAGACATAACAACAGAAGTAACTAAGGTTTGACTTACGTCAAAACCCCGAGGCTAGTCAGCCCAGGAAGAATATAAGACTCAACCAACAGGACCCACAGGAGCAATTCAGGAGGCTGGCCATCCTCTTCAACATGGTATCCAGCAAATGGACAAACATTAACCACATAGGAGGACCCTAAGATATACACTACTGAAATATTTGTGACTATTGGGATTGGAAAACCAAACATTAGCCCAAAAGTTGAAAATGACAAAACGAAAAAGCAAAATGCAATCTCAAACGTCTAGTCCATCAGGAGCAAGAACATGTAATAGTGAAATAGAGAACTTTACAAGTCATACACCAGAAACATCTGAAACAATAGCTATAGAGGAAATCAAATTAGAAATAATGCTTACATAAAAACAGAAATAACAACCTTAGTAAACAAGTTGCTCAGCATAGCTAGAGAAGAAATAGATAAAAAAAATACAGGAGCTTGGGAAATTGATTGAAACCTTGAATGATCATTAGAGAAAACAAGCATAATCCAAGAAAACAATTCAAAGAGATATCCAAGAAACAAAAAAGATTCTATTGAAATCTGGCAAAACTGTTTAAATGAAGCTGAGGATAGAATTTTGGACTTTGAGGACAGGATCGCAGTTAATGATCATGAAAGAGTAGAGCTTTTAAAAACAACAAACAGCATGAAACAACAATCCAGAAGCTTCAATATGATGCAAGAGAAACAATGTAATAGGCCTCAATGAAGATGCAGGCATCAACATGAAGGAGATCCATAAACTATTCACAGAAGTAATAAAAGAAAATTTCCCAAACATGGGGAAAAATCTGATATGCAGATAAGTGAGGCATATACAATGCCAAAGTCACAACCAACACAAATCTACACCCAGATATATAATAATTAAGATCTCAGATGTACAGAATAAAAATAGAATACGGAAATCTGTTAGAGAAAAGATACAACTAATTTATCAATGAAAACCCATTAGAATCACAGCAGACTTTTCAGTGCAAACCTTGAAGTTAAGATCAGCTTGGAGTGAGGTATATCAAGCTATAAAAGAAAACGATTTTCATCCTAGACTGATGTACCCAGAAAAACTGTCTTTCACACTTTATGGAGAAACAAGATACTCCCATGACAAAGAACAACTGAAGACATTCATGTCCACCAAAACAACACTAGAAAGAGTACTGAAAGACATACTAGATAGGGAGAAAAATTACCACAATCTCTAGAACAACAACAGAAAGAAACCACCAGGTGAGGCAAGAAATTCAACATGGGGGAAAAGCAGAAAACACACAGGAGCATAACATAGCACAGATGAGCTACTACATATCAGTTATAGCCATACAAGTAAATGGCCTCAATTCACCTATCAAAAGAAACAGGTTGACAGAATGGATGAAGAAATAGGATCCCACAATATGCTGTACACAAGAAACACATCTAACTCAAAAGGAAACTCACAGATTAAAAGTCAAAGGATGGAAAACACTATTCCATGCAACAGGAACCCTTGAAAAAAGCAGGGATAGCTATTTGGTTTGCAGACAAAGTGAACTTCAAATCTAAAATAACTAAAAGAGATAAAAAAGACCACTACATACTGATTAGTGGAAAAACTGAACAGGAAGAACTAACAATTATACATTTATATGCACCAAATACAGGAGCACCCAACTATAAAAGACAAATACTAATGGACATGAAAAACCATGTACACAAGAACACAATTGTAATGGGAGACCTTAACACCTGTCTCAAAGAGATAGATCAACTAGACAAAAATTGAGCAAAGAAATAACAGAACTAAATCATGGTTGTGAGCAAATGGACTTAGTAGTTATTTACAGTGTGTTACACCCAATCACATTAGAATACACATTGTTCTCAGCTGCACATGGTACATTCTCCAAAACAGGCCATTTATTAACCCATGAAACATTCTTAAGCAAATGAAAAGGAATTAAAATTATCCAATACACAGTATCTGATCATAGAACACTAAAATTAGAAATCAATAGTAAAAAAATTTGCAAAACCTGCAGTAATACATGGTAATTAAATAACACTCTCATGAACAACCAGTGGGTTACAGATGAAATTAAAGAAGAAATGAAACAGTAGCTACAATTCAAACAAAATGCAGATACAACATACTGTAACCTGTGCAATGAAAAGAGTCTTAAGAGGGAAATATATAGCAATAAATTGTCACATCAAGAAAGTAGATAGAGCACAGAAAAGTGACCTAATGCTACATCTCAAGCTTCTAGAAAAGAGAGCATAAACCACAAGCTCATAGAAGAGAGGAAATTTTAAAGATCAGAGCAGAAATCAGTGCAATTGAAACTAAAAAGACAATAAAAAGAATTACCAAGTCAAAGAGCTGATTTTTTGAGAGAATAAACAAAACTGATAAACCTCTACCCAACCTTATCAAGAAAAAGAAAGAAAAAACTCAAACTCACACAATAAGGACTGAAAAGAGGGAAATTACTACAGATTCCATGGAAATTCAAAATATCACAAAAACACCTCTTTAAAAATCTCTACTCACATACAGTGGAAAACAGAGGAAATGGACAGATTTCTAGAAACATACAAACCACCAAAGCTTAATCAAGAAGATATAACAATTTTGAATAACCCAATATCAGCTACCAAATGGAAAATATTATTAAAAACTTACCAAAAAAGAAAAGCCAAGGCCCTGATGGATTCATGGCTGAATTCTATAAGAAACTGAGAGACACCTTGATGGCAATATGCCTTAAAATCTTCAATGATATTGAAAGAGAAGCAATCCTCCCTAAATCATTCCTGGAGGTAAGTATCACACTAATACTAAAACCAGAGAAAAACTCAACCAAAAATGAGAAGTATAGGCCAATCTCACTAATGAACATTGATGCCAAGATTCTCAATAAAATACTGGCAAATAAAATGTAGCAAATCATCAAGTAAATTATACATCATGACCAAGTGGGATGTGGTTTGACATACACAAAGATGATCTTGAGGCCTTTGTAGGTAAATGGAGGCAACTTGAGATGTTCTTCATAAGTGAAATAAACAAAAATCACATTAGTAGATATCACGTTGTCTCTCCAGTGTAAAGAATAATAAAAACTAAAAAGGTAATAAGACCCAAAATGCATAAGAGATATTTTAAAAATGACTGGGAAGGAAAGTGCTCTAAAGTATATAACTCTATGTGTAAGTGTGTAAGACAGATGATCATATTAGTAAATTTTTTGTTGGATCATTGAAAAGAACGGTTTTGTACTGTCAATGATTGAGTACCTATCCACTTTTTATGCTTTGATTTTGTAATTTGAGCAATTATTTCTAAGATGATAACAGGTAATGTATCAACTATCAATTCTTTAATCTTTGGTTGAATTCTGTATTATCACATCCTTCTTTTCTATTTTGTTTTTTTCTTTCTTTCTTAAATAAAAAAGAGAAAAAAAGAAAACCAGCACAACAACCTTCTCCAGGAAAATCAACAGTGCACCAACTTTCTCTCCAGTTCTCTTTTCATGCTGTTGCCAACAATTCCCAGGTGGGCCTTCCACACCCAGCATCACATTGATTCAGCTCTGTGTTACAAGCTGGCCATTAGTTAACCCATCATAATCAGAATCCAGTCTCCTCTACCATCACCCCTTCCACATCATCCACAAATGGGCAGTGAGACAGAAGGACAGAGAAAGACAAGCAGCAGAGAAATCTAAGAGGACACATGAAATCCAATTTGTAGATGCTTGAAAATGGCCGCAGAAATGTTCAAAATTTGTGTATAATAAATAATAATGTGACAGGCAAAATTTTTCAAAATCTAAGAATATATATTTTTCATTGTGTGTGGAGTGGATATGAAGTACATGTAGGTGTGCATGGATGTGTGTCTATGTAAAAGGAGGCACACCAGCACAATAAAGAGAAAGTGTGTAAAAACCACTAATTCTCTCATTTAGCATAGGAGAGTGTTAAGGGACAATGGTGGAATAAACACACTGCACTATACTTCTTAATTTTATGATACTTTTGCCATTTTTCATGTAAGTGAAATATCTATTTAAAAATAAATAACAGGAAAGTTTAAATAGTATAAGAATTATTTTACAAACACTCTCAAAAAATGGAAAAAGAATGTTTCAGAAAGCCCTGTGTTAGGGCTTCTTCCCAGGCATGACTGTCACCCAACAGAGGGATACTGCACAGGTGCAGGGCCAGATGTCTCACTGTGCCTCAGCCACGATGCAGTAGTACACAGCAGTGTCTCTCAGAGCAACCCGGGGCAGGCTCAGGGTGTTGGACTTCCTGTCTTTAGGGATAAACAGAGATGCCACTTCATTGGCCACGTCTGTCTTATACCCTTGAATAATAAATTGTGGTCCCTGGTGGTGGACTTGTCGGTACCAGAAGATGTATTCACTTGTAGCAATGTCGGGGTGGGTACAGGACAAGTTCACCTCTTGTCCCTCGTAGGAGTCCATGGAGAAGGGCTGTGTGGTCTTAGCAAGGCTGCCAGTACCTGTGGGAATAAACACAATGCTGGTGCCTGTGCTGGAATGAGGTGGATTAAAAGCCCCCTACTCCCCTTCCCAGTGTTTCTCTCTCACAGTTGAATCCACCCAACCAGTGATTTCCCCATCACACACACACACACACACACACACACACACACACACACACACACACACACGGTTTACTTCTTATTTGTGCTCCAGTATAGAAACATACTTTATATTTATTCCAGGAGGGCTCAGGGTTACCTACACAGAGTAAGGAGCTTGCTTTCTCCCTCCCGTGAGTGAACCCATGGATCAGTAGTCCAGAGTAACTTTACTGGCCTGAAACAGCTCTCATATAAAGACTTAGAAGCTGCGAGGAGAAAAATAGGACTCCAAGCTTTCCCTCAACATCTTGGACAAACAAGATGGGTAAGCAATCGGAAGCAGGACAGAATAAACACTTCTGTTCAACATCCTTACATTCAGATCCAAATTCCACTTAGTCCAAAATAACTTACCCAGGATCAGGAGCACAGTCACTCTTACCATCTGCTCCATATTTTAGGCAAATACCAGGGTTGAAGTTCTATGCTGTTTCACTGATCCCAGCCCTGATCTGAAAAGGGAACCAGGGACAAAGCATGGCAGCCACTGCCCTGGCTCACTCTAGCAGCTGTCAGCTGGGGCTGTCCCTAGGAGAGCACCACCCACCAGGCAGCAGAGCAGCAGAGTGCAGCTTCCCTGCAAGACTCAGCTGCTGCCCAGGTGAAACAGGGGCTGAAATTTGCCAGTAAAAGGGCCCGGGTGCCCATATTTCATTTGAGATCTTTTCTGAGGTCTAACCACTTAGACATTTGGCAGATGGCAGGTAGAAAAATAGATAGATAGATAGATAGATAGATAGATAGATAGACAAAGATATAAAGGTATATACATACATAAATATACAGATTGATTGATTGATTGATTGATGTATACATATCTCAAATAGAGAGAAGGATAAATTTGAGTCATTTATAGGAAAATGCATGTATCTTGAGACCATAATTCTGAGTTAAATTAATCAGACACTGACAATTAAATGTCATGTGGTTTGACTTCTATGAGAAAGTATAAATAATTTAAAGAGCAAAATAAAAGAGAAATGATAAGAAACACAGAGACCCTGTGGAGATGGGAAAGAGATATGGGATATGGGAGACAGAAACGAAGAGAGGAGAAGAAAAGTAAAAAGATTCAGGATGCAACATGCATATGCAGCAAGCCCTCACTATGACTATGTATTCATTATGCATCACAAACATAAACTAACAACAGGCAAATACTTATGTGAAACTAAAAAATACGCACAGAATACATTTTAGAAAGCTAAAGGAAAAGATTTTGAATATTTTCACCATAAAGAAATAATAAATGTTTAAAGAGGAATATGTTTACTTTGATTTAATTAAATATCACACTATTTATTCCTGTATCAAAGCATCACAGGGTCTCTATATAGGGTATATTTTATCATGGTAATGCATCAACTGAAAACAATTTAAGTTCAAAAAGGGTATAAAAATAATATGTTTAATCTATATCCACAACTTTCCAAACGGATGCAATCATTATATATTGCAAATATGTACTAATAAAACATTTTCTTTAAAAAATACATTACAAACTAAACAATACAAAAAAGTAATTTTTTTAAAATCCAGGCATTCAGTGAAAAGCCACATCCAAAAGACACCGATCTGTTAAGGAGTCAGCCAAGTGCTGTAATAAACATGCTAGATACCCATATTAATGTAGAAAAGAAGCTTCTGAATTCTTTGACCACATAGTGTAGAAATGGGAAAACACACTGGAAGCTATTTGGGAGATGCCTCTTTTTAGGTCAAGATTTGCCCGCAGTATGCTGAATTTAAAAAACAAACAAAATCTCATTTCCCGATTTTAAAAAAGCACTTCTTGGAATGTTTGGCAAAAATATCACAAGTTATGAAATAACTTATTTGCCTCAGGTTAAAGTAGAGGAGAAAAGAAGTTAGAGGGAGCTAAAGATGAGAGTATACTTTGCATGGAAATGAAAAGCAAGGGTTACACGCCAGATTCAACTCTTTGCAGCAGCGCCCCCCAGTGGTAACAGCGCTTGGACAGAAGCAATGTTTCCCAAAGTGGGACCCGTAGTATGAAATGTGCAGTATTTCTTTGCTGGGTTAGGGTAGACAGTAGCCTGGCTTGGTTTTATGGAATGTGGAGTATACTTTGTATAGTATAAGAGGAATCCAGTGAGGAATCAGGCACTTGCACTGTATCTCCACCCTTGATAGCTTCTGATTTCACACAAGTCTCCCTCTCAGAGGCAGTTTCTTCATCCTTAAGAGAGATTATAAGGATCATCTAAATGAGTATAAGTAAGCTTTTTCTAAACTCAACTACTGTATAAAAATAGAGATTTAGCTCAGAGAATAAGTGTCTGCCTAACCAGTGCAAGGTCAGTGCAAGTTTGATCCTCAGTACCAAAAAAATAAATAAATAAGATAAAGACTATGGGGCAGAGGGAAAAGCTCAGCAGCACAGCGCCTGCCAGGCAAGTGAGAAGTCCTGAGCTCAGTTCCTGATACCAAAAAACAAAAATAAAAATAAATAAAATAAATAAAAACTGTGTTAAATGAGAGTTACATCACAAGACCAAAATGATCCTAAATTTAAAAACAGCAGGGGGAACCTGGTGTTGCTGTGTGGCCACCTATTATCTCAGGTAGGAACTATGGCTGAGGCCAAGCAGCTGGAAGAAGGAACAGCAGAAGTTGTCTATGCCTGAGCCTGGAGAATGTAAGTATTGCTAATAGTTGTGATCTGTTACAGAATATATTATGTTCTCACAACCACAAAAAAGTGTGTTAGAGTCCTAACACACACACACACACACACACACACACACAAACATGTTCTCTTGTCTTAGGACTCAAGTTAAGTCTTTGGCAATGGACTATATTAGATGAATGACTGAATGACTGAATGGCACTGGTCTCCTAATTTTCTGGCCTTCGTAACATCGAGTCTGTCATGGTTTATGTCTGTGGCCCCCAAGCCTCATGAGTTTGCATTGTGCATTTGTGATGGTTCATTGTCTAGTGCTTGGATTGATGGTGTCAGTGCTACACCCACAAAGGGGTGGAGCTAGGATGTTATGTAATGGCAGGAATAATGTGGATCTTTCTCTTTGCTGGTTTCTACTTGCAGCTGCCATGAACTTCGGACCAGGCATGCCCGCCAGCCTTGGAGCCAACTGAGGGTGGACTGAGACCTCCAAAAACTGTAAGAAATAAATATTTCCTTTCCTAACTTGGGCTTCAGGTATTTTGTCTCAGCAAGGAATAAAAAGTAGCTAAGACAGAATTTGGTACTGAAAGTGGGGTCATTTGCTGTGACTATACCTGACCATCTTTCTCGAGAGGCTTTGGAAATGGCTTGTAGACAGAGTTTGCAAAGATTTGGATATGTCACCTGGATGCATATTGCTGGAGCAGCTTAGGCTGTTCTGTAGAGGTCAGAGCTCAGGCGACCAAAAAGCTGGTAGAAAGCCAGATGGTAAAGATCAGGCTTGGGAGGTTTCTGCTGGGAAGAAGGACTGCACTGGTTGTGGGACTCCCTATGATGTGTGTTATGGATTGGCAGAAAGTTTGTCTGCATTTTGCTCATTCCCAGAGACTTTGCCTGAGACTGAGACAAAGGGCAATGGACTGATTAATCTTGAAAAGGAAATTAAAAAGCAATTGAATGTTGAGTCTTGCATGGCTATTGTTGGGGGATTTTAGCCAGCTTGATGTTGCAAATCAAGAGCAAATTGCTCAGCAGGATAATCTGCACTACTGTGAGTTTGGCCAGAAGGAAAATGCCAGCAAGGCTGTGGATTGTAAAGACAGAGTTGAGATTTTGATAGCAGAGGAGAAACAGAGAGATAAGAATGATAATCCTGTGGCATCCCAGGAAGTGGGTCCCCTCCCTTTGCAGCCTCACTGCAAAGGTGAAAGAATTTACTCAGAGGAGAAAGCTGCAGAGCACCATGCTCCAGAATGGCGACAGAGACCACATGAGGTTCCAGAATGGTGGCAACACAAACAAGCTTTTCCTCACAATCAGGTAAACAGAGCCCTGCAATCCAGGCAACTGACCCCTACAGCCAAGAGACAGAAAAGCCTGGCTACTGCTTCAGCTGGCAGCAAACCATGGCAGCATCCACAAGGTGCTGATTTTAGGTGCAAGGAAAATGCACAAATTCTAACGGTATGAAGGCTTCCACCTCGATTGCAAAGGGCCTGGGAAGCCAAGCAGTGTGCCCCTGAGAGGGCAATTTGTGAAGATGTAGAGGTGAAGTCAAAGGAGCAGTGGAGACCCAGAGAAGTTTGGAAAAGCCAGGAATGTGGATGATCCAAAGGAAGCTGCAAAAAGCAAGCAGAGAAGATTTAAGAGAAATGCTGCAGGAGTTGAAATCACCAGAACTGCCATGGGGGTTCTGTAATCACCCAAGCTTTTTGGAGCTTGCAACCAGTTTTCTTCAGATGCTGAGCATGGAACTGTAGGGCTTAATGTTTGCCCTGCTGGACATTGGACTTGCTTTCTTTCCAATGCTTTATATTCCCCTGCTTGTAACTTTAGGAATGGTAATGTTTATCTTGTGCCTTTGCATTTCAGAAATGATTAACCTTGTTTCATTTGTACAGGGGTTAAAGGTAAGAGTTTGCCATAGATCTTAGAGGAGACTTGGGACTTGGACTTTTCAGCAGTGCTGAAACTTAGGACTTTGGAAACTCTTGGAGGTGGACTAAATGTCTTTACATGAGTCCTGGGGGCCAAGGGTGGAATGTCGTGGTTTATGTCTGTGGCCCCCAGGCCTCATGAGTTTGCATTGTGCATTTGTGATGTTTCATTGTTTAGTGCTTGGATTGATGATGTCAGTGCTACACCCACAAAGGGGTGGAGCTAGGATGTGATATAATGGCAGTAAGAAAGTGTGTCTTGCTCTTTGCTGGTTCCTGCTTGCTCTTTGCAGCCACCATGAACTGCGGCCCAGCCATGCCCACCTGCCTTGGAGCCAACTGAGTGTTGACTGAAACCTCCAAAAACTGTAAGAAATAAATCTTTCCTTTCCCAACTTGGGCTTCAGTTATTTTGTCTCAGCAAGGTGTAAAAATTAACTAAGACAGAGTCAGACCCTATTTTAAGCAAACACACAGGTGTGACCATACCTCCTATTAACTCTATGCTGCGGTGAATTCTCTTAATACGTATATCCTACTTTGCCTGTCACTTTTTGTGTTCCAAAGGATCTGGGAAAATAACATCATGTGCATTGATGTTACTATTTATGTACAGAGTAATAACAAATCAAAACCATTGATAATTGGAAATTTCAAACAGTTCTTAGAAGAGAAGGTGGGAAGACATCAGATCCAAAACCAGCAAAGTAAAAAGCCTGAGAGAAACAGCTCAGATGCTGGAATATAGCATTATGGAGAAGATCAGATGGTAGGAGATGGATCCTCTGGACCCAGGAAGAAGCTAAAGCAAAAAAACAAAACAAACAAACAAAAAACAAAAGAAAAGAAAAACTTGGATAGAAGGTGGTAGCCACACATGCTTTTGCTGGAGATGATCCCACTGTGTGCAAAATGCCACTGGAATGCA